TTGGAAAACATTCTGTTCTTCCTCTCCATGCCTTTTGTAGAAACTATCCTCCATGCCTCCTTAGCTCTACCTCTTAGAAAGCACCTTCAAGTGCCTCCTCCTACAAAGAAGCCTGATACCCCAAATCTATCTAGTTGCTTGAGGTTACTTTGGATCCATGTTGTATTTCATTTTCTACGTACGTGTTGTTTCCCTCCAGTAGAATGTAAAACTCTTTGAGGGCATGATTCATTTTTGTCTTTGTATTCTCAGTCCAGAGCACAGGCCTTTCACACAGCAGAACCTTAATGCCTGTTTAACTGAATTGAATTCTGGATAACTGGTATTCAGGTTTAGACCCCTAAATAATTAATGTGGCCACATGTGGGAGGTCTTCTCCTGTGATGGGGGTATGTGTGACTTTCATCAAGGAGGACCAAGATGTGGCTCCCAGCCCAAACTTGTGAAATGTGTATGTTGTTTCCTATCTCTGAAGCCAAGCAGAGTCCACTTATGCACCATGCTAACCTCTCAAGGGAACAGAGATGGAATGCCAAATTCCTGCCTGGCTTCCCTGGAGATTCACCAACCAAAAACACCCAGACATCCATAGTCATCCTGAGATGCTCCTGCATCTTCTCAGATACATACTTGCTCTTTGCTTTCCTACTTGCTAAGTCACTCCACTGTGACTGTCTCAAGAGGCCAAGTTGTATACTTGTTGAGCAAAACTGCCTCCAATCATCATTCTTTCCCTACGATAGATACCAGTAGAGCCCCTGAGGCTTAGTTTCTCCTTAGCTTGGTTCCTCTGCTTCGTTTCCCACTGCTAACTATTGAGGCATTATTATATTTGTCTACAAACGTTTCATGATGCCTTCACAAACTTTTTAATCTCATGTTCTAAATCTTATATCCTTTATTTAATAAAATTAGATGATGCATCTATTTTGCTTCTTTTATGTTAAGAGATGAATTGACACTTGATAAACTCTACATGCACAATTATATAAAATAGACTTCTAGGATTTTAAACTATTTAAGTATTCTCAAATGCTAAGTATTGGGAAAGGCACTAACATTGCTTCAAACTTTTTTCACAGGTTATTGGTATTTTAGGTGATAGATTTTCTCCATAAATATGCACCTAAATATACTCAGAAAAAAACATGTTTTATTCTATTTATATTATTTCCAGACCCCAACAAAAATATGCTACTTATTAGAATGTGTTAACATGCTGTTTTGTGATTTATAAGTCATAAGTCTTCTTCTTGATTTTATAACAGACTGCTGGACTAATGGAGAGACATTTTCTCTTTTTAGTGTCCAAGTTGTTTTTTTTTTCTGAACAATGGACTAATTGGCTTCAGTTAAGCTTATCAACGTTGCCTTTGGATGGATTCCTTAGTAGAGAGAACAGACACCTGCTGGTGCTCTTCTGCCAATCATAATGAGGGGTCTATACACTTGGTAACACTAAAGCTCTTGAATCAATGAACAAAGTACAACTACAAAATGATTGACTGGTCATTGGAAATCACTATCATAGAAAAAAATCTAAGAAAAAAGGGCAGACTTTCTTGTTTCTCTGATTAAAAACAAACAAACCAAAAACCCAAACCCACAACTTAGAATTTTGAGACATTTTTTATGAAGAGAATTCCACAACAGAGACTGAATTCCATAGAACCTGTTAATATCCTTAGAAATGCTTAAACTATTTACTCATTGATAGTGGTTCCATTTCTTTTTTGAATTTTAATTTTCACTTCTAAATTCTCTCCCTCCTTCCATCTCTCTGCCATCCACTGAAAGGCAAAAAATACTATATCCACTATACATATGAAGTCATGTAAAACATATTTAGTGGTTCCATTTCTAATAACTATTCTTACTAAATTGACATAATAGGCTGAGTAGCTTCCAACCTTTAAAGTTCCTGGTCTCTTATATAAAGATACTTAATCATCCAATCTTGGGTCCTATTTTTTTTTTTACAAACTATTTTCCTTAGGTTTTTAAGAAAGCTCGCTATTACCCTTTTTAAGATTATGTTGCCAGTAGAATTAGGTTTTGTTTTGTGAAATTAGTGATTTAAAAATATTTTAAATTTGTTTCATTTAGTAATTTCTCAATTTACTTTCTTTTTTATCTTCTGCCTCTAAATTATATTCTCATCTTTAGCTTCTGGCAGTGTATTTGTCCACAAGTGCAATCATGGGCTATACTATAAATATATATATATATATATATATATATATATATATATACACACACACACACACACACACATACATACACACACATATATGTGTGTGTATATAATTTATATGTATAATTTTATATAATATATAATTTATTATATTATATATAACATATATTTACATACGAATCCTGCCTTGAGTTGAATAAAGAACATTGTAAAAGGAAAGAAATCTTTATTATATAGCTACTACAAATTCTTCACCTTGCTACCCTTAAATTAACTTTTTAAATAATTATGTCATAACCTCTCTTAAGAAAGATCACCAATGCAAACCAACACAAATTGTTCTATTTTAACTGCCATATGAAAGAATGCATCAAATAACTAACAATTAACCTTTGACCCAGATATTCCACTGGTAGGTATGTTCCCCAAAGAGGTCATTGACAAAAAGATAGGCTCTATATACACTAAAGTATTTATAGCAATACTTTTTGTGGTGGCAAAGAACTGGAAACAAAGCAGATGACCATTGACTGGAGAACAGCTTAAACAAATTGTGGTATGTAATGGAATATTACCATGCTGTAAGAAATGATGAACATAATGAATACAGAGAAGCATGGAAAGACTTACATGAACTGATACAAAATGAAGTAAGCTGAACCAGAGAAATAATAAATACAATGATCACAATAATGTAAATAGGCAAAAGAAAAAGAAAACCCAAAACAAACCCAACCACCATAAAACAATCAAAACTCACGTTGTGAGATTATAAAAAAATGCAGTTTGCCTGAAGAAGAGATATGAGAAGACATTCTCCCCCTTACCCCAATTCATGACCCCAAGGGGTCATGAGTGTGCAACATTGCATATTATAACATAAGATTTTTTTTCCCTATGTAACGACCAAGTTTTCTGAATTGTTTTTTTTTTCCTTTTCCTTTTAAAATAATTATTAACAGATGATTCTCCGGGAGGATGGAAAAGAAGAGATATAGGGGGAAATTTAAGGGGTTTAAATACAAAAGATTTCAATAAAATTGTTTTAAAAATTTTTACTCAAGCAAAAAAGTGTTAAATAGGTTTCCTGTGGACCGCATTCCAGAGTGCCACCAGAAGCAGATTAAAATGTAATTGGTAAATATTTAACAAAATAAATAAAAATACAATGGAACACAGATAACATTAATATGTGCTTTCCCAAGTCAATGTACAGCCTGCAGGGATTCTTATGTATGGTCCATGCTTCTATTTGAGCTTGACAATGCTTATCTAATACTATTTGCCTTATAGATATGGCCAAGCAAGTATCACTAAAACTATTGCTTGAAGAAGAGATAGTTTATTTAATAACAATAGCATAAAGGCCCTGCTACTTCTCTTCAAAAAGGGAAACTCCTGATTTCACCCTGTGATAGCAGTCCTGGAATTCACTTTTCACACAATCACTGGAACAATCCAAAAAGCTGCCTTCTTCTATCCTCCCCAAAACAGAAAACTTAAATAGTGAGGATATAATCTCCCTGGGAACTGCTTTAGCTCTCTTCTAATGTATCTCCTACTCATTTGTCTTTCAATAGGTCATAGGAAATGTGAAAGGGGAATGCTTTGGCAATTCCATTGTCAGCATTATTATTTAATTATTTGATTAGTGTTCTATAAAGCAACATGGCCTCCATAAAATTTGCCATTATCAGGGTTTAAGAATAGGTACACTAAAGCCTTTCCCTAGTTGTGGCTAATACCTGATGCTTCACAGAAGAATGATGCTTTAGTAAGAAGCCACAACATAAGACTCAGTGGGATATATTAGCCGACAGAAAGAACTCTAATTCTAAAAGGGGCACACGGAATGTGGGATTAGGATCCAGAAAGCCTGGGCTTTTATTCTTTCTCCACTGTTTGCTTGCTGTATAATCCTGAATAAGTCACTTAACCTTAGTAAGGTCTTATATTTGCTTTATCTACAAAATAGGGATAATAAGACCTTACCTGCCATTAGGCAGGGGGCTTGTCCCAATTCTCTCCTGAGGTTGCTTTCAGCTCTAAGATTTATAATTGCATTTCTATAAAAACTTCCATGCTGCCTATGAAAGAATGTTTGATCTGGAACAGATTACATACTGTCCTTTAGGTTCTCTGTCTGAATAAAATGGGATTATCTTATGTTTCTCAAGGGAGGGCGAAATAGGCATTATTAGTATATAATGTAAAAAAAACAAACATAAAACACTCTTTAAAGGCTAAAAACATGTCTTAAGACATCACTTTTAGTACCTTATAACTCAATACTGAAATCACACCATCAATTAAAAACAATTCAATAGACATCAATTGATGACCTAGTATATTTAAGACACTGTGGTGGGTACAAGAGATATAAAGATGAAAAATAACATTGTCCCTGCCCTCAAGGAGCCCATATAATCTGTTAGGGGGGATTTGACATGTAAACATATAAATGTAGTGAATTTATATAGAAGTAAAATAGAGGGACAAAGGAGAGACCCAAATTACAATAGGAAAATTTGAGGAGGAATTACTTTTGGCTAGCAAGACCTGAGAAGGTTCATGGAAAAAATGAAATCTGAATTAAACTTTGAAGGAAGAGAAAAATTTTAACAGATGAAGATTAGGAAGGAATGCATTTCAGGATAGTGGACAGACTATGTGATTTCTCAGGAGGAAGCAGCATATTGTGTTCTCTTAGGGTGGTGGGGTTTTTTTTTGTTATCAAAGGAAAATACCACAGCACTTAAAAAGTTAAAAATGATTTTCACATTTCAGTGTAAACTCCAGACTTTACCTTTGTTTCTGCTGCATGGGTTGTTGTCTCATAGCCATATATTGCATGTCCTCTTGTAGTCGATTAAGAGGGGAGTCTGGCTTGACACGAATCCCATAGTAATGGTACTTGGAGTTCCCTCTTCATCAAGAAAAACAACAGACAATAGAAATATAAGTGTCAGTAAATATAAAATTAGGCTTAGTCAATATCCACTTAATTTAAAGTACTGCAAAATTAATTCCAAGAATGAAGAGCATATAAATTGCACGCACACAAAATGGCTGGTCATGTGGGGAAAGCTCAACTCAAATTAAAAAGTGTTGAAGCACCTACTGTCTTGTACTATTTGTATACATATCAGGCCTGTACAAAAACAAAGGAAAAAACAATACAGTCTCCATCCTCATGGAACTTACTATATTCTACTGGGGGCTGGGGGCAGGGTGATAAGATGTACACAGATAAACACAAAATATATACAAAGTAAATATGAAATAATTTTGGCAGAGCACCAACCAATTTGGGAGGGCACCTACAATCAGAGGTCTGCCCACGTGGTACTTTAGTAATCCTGAGATAAAAAAGGAACAAGGGGAAGTCCTCTAGAGCACTGAGCAAAAATCATGCAGAATGAAAGAAAAATACCTAAGGGCTATAATCTTCCTTGGTGGAAGAAGTACCTATACAGATAAATTCACAGATACACCAAAGGACCTGTATATATGAATATATATGTATATAATTTGTGCATATATATGTATATAATGCCACATATTATATAATATATATCTTACATTTCATGCAAGTTAATAGAGTAGCTCTATGTACAAAATTAAAATTCCATTCTGACAAATAAAGACTTTGAAAAAAATTGTAATCATATTCTGCCTTGATATTTTCTGAACAGTTCATTCAGAAAATGTGTATGTTCTCTCAAGTTAAATTCAACACACAAGTTTTATTCCTAAATTGCAAGCTCATTGAGGGAAAGTTTTACTTAAGTCTTGTATCCTCCTCAGTACCCAGTACCGTGCTATACACAAGTGAACACTTAAAAGTTTGCTAGATCATATTCTTGTAGTATTAGCTTAATTAAAAGGAGGTCAGTTATTTCAGTGGGAAATTGGTCGTTAGTAAAAATAATGTAATGTAGGATAAGTGATTCCTCATTAAAAAGGAAATATCAGTGGGGCAGAATTACCTACAGGTCTCACAGTAAAAATCACACTTCTTGCTCTATCACCTTGGACAAATAACTTAACATTTCTATAAATAATGTAATGTAGGATAAGTGATTCCTCATTAAAAAGGAAATATCAGTGGGGCTGAATTACCTACAGGTCTCACAGTAAAAATCACACTTCTTGCTCTATCACCTTGGACAAATAACTTAACATTTCTATTTCTTATTTACTTCATGAGAAGGAGTGTTGGCAGTGGAATAAATATACTGATTTCAAGCTTACAATATTGTTGTGTTAATCCAGTTAATTAAATTTTTTAATAAAAAGAGCTCTGTAGATGTTAAGAAGAAATTATTTCATCCCTGTTGATTCTCAAACACATTTTGTTAGTCACTGTTTTTAAATGAATCCATATCTGTTTTGCAGGCTGAATCAGATGTATCACAACAGACACACATGGGGAAATTTCTCTGTGAAAATGGCAAATTTCCACATGGGACAAATGATTTCACAATTTCTTCATTTTCATGAGAAAGCCTGTGTTTCGTGACAATTTTTTTCTCTCAATGGAATTCGTGAATATTTGCAAGAATAACAGTTTTAAACATGTAAATTCTTGCGATGAGAAAATTGTAGTTTCTAACAGGTCTAAATATAGTAAGGCATTAGAACTCTTCCCATTTTTTCCTCTTCCACTTAAAGAGAAAAATTCAAAGAGAATTTGTGCTAGATTTAAAAAAATGGAAAGATGCTACTTTCAAGTTTAAAGAGTAACTATATAGTGTAATGACTACACCCTTGTAAAACTGTTAAAATGGGAGTACAATACAGTTTTATTAATTGGCAAAGATATATAGTATATCTGATATCTGATATATAGTATATTTTTGAGTACTTAGTCCCCCAATTTAGGAATGAATCCTAAACCCAATAAGATAGGCCTTCTTTAAAGAAAACTTTCAATTAAAATCACTTTTTAGCGTTTTCAGCCTTGGAACAAAGTGACAAGCCAACTCAATACATTTTATTACTAGTCTCTTTTTCTTCAAAGTAAAGAGCAGTGAAAAAGCAGGAGAAGGGATAGAGTGGTGCATCTCTCACATGACCTCTTCCCATTTGCATGGCTGATTTTTGTCTCTATTGTATTAACAAGATGGCCCACTCTGTTCCATGAATGGCCTCACAAAAACTTATGAAGAATCCAAGAGACAGGGTGAACTGACTATAAATTTGGCAAAAATGTTCTATAAACATTTTAATGTTTTGATTCTGCTTAGGATCAATAGTTTTATAATGTATATTTGTTTTTTTTTCTTGGTTTCTATTAGGTATAATTTTATTTATTTTTTTAGAAGGGAAATTATTTTATGGCTCTTTCTGCTTTTTGGTAAAAATTTGTATCTTGGCTCATTTTGGTTCATGGTAAAGTGCTGCTCAGACTGAATCTTGGTTCAAATCCCTGTTTGAGGGAGAGTGAGTCTTTTTTGCAGTAGACACATTTCAGCAGTATCTGAGCCTGATTACTTTCCTTTTTGCTATATTAGCCCAGCTATCATTACAATACAGAATGGGGCTTAACATTTCCATTTGTGAATAAGTTTTTATTCTGTGCCTAGATTTTCTTTCCCATCACTCATTTTAAATATTACTTTTTTAAAAGTTACAGGGCAAATTATTGGTACATTTTGAGAATAAAAATGATAGCAGGGACCCCTTGGAAAGTAAAAGTCACAAAAGTAAAGTAGAAATTTTGTCTACTCAATGGATTGTACCTGCCAACACCAAGTCTCCTGTCTTTTCTTTTTTTGAGATACTTTCTAGAGTAAATCTGGAACTTTAAAAGTGAACCATCTATTGAAATCTTTTCCAGGGACAGCGTACAAGAAAACATTTAAGCAAGCATGAGTTGTGCAAAGTTAATGTTTGCCAAAGTATATAGAACTATATGGCAATGTGCTTCCTGCAACTCATGCTTGCTTAGGTGCTTTCTTATATTCTAAATTATATTTCAACCATTCTTTTTGTGGTTCTGGACAAGGAATGAGACAGAAAACAACTAAAGCCATGAATGTTAACTCCTTCCATTTGATGAAATTAATTATATGCAAAGTCAGTGGCTTAAAATTTGCTAAATCTTCTGTTCCATAGATTCCTCACTAAAATTCAATTATCAGCCAAGAAGAAAGTTGAATTAAATATCACATTGGCTGATGTTTAGAACCACAAACACTTTGGTATTCTGGTTTTGCTTAGGATTAATAGTTTTAGAAGATATATTGGCTTTGATATGGTTTCAGAGATATAATAGTTGCTAAAGAACTGAATCTGTACTTATTTAAATGCTGTCCATGCAGGTAAAATTCAACAGAGGGGGATAATTTTCATATATGTATTATGTATATAGATATGCATAAATCTACATATACACATACATACATACACATATATGGATTTTGTGTACATATATACACACAAAATCCACATATACATACAAACACAAAGTCCATCATTCATAGGAATCTGAAAGGCTCATTCTCAGAATAAATTTATAATGAGGTCACTAAGATTGTTATTTGACTAAGCACACTTAGAAATGTTTACTAGAATTCTATGGCACCATGAATCATAACTAATTAAAACTAATCTGTACTTGCTAAAATTAATGAACATATACAATTTCTTCATGAAGTAGCTCTATTTTTCTTCTTTATATTAGATTCCTAATCAATAAAACTTAGCAATTCAGATTTAATCCTTAGCAATGCAATGTGGTGCAAGAGCCAGGAGATGGATTTGGATTTGGAGGGCTGAGGTTCAATCCTGGCTCTGCCTCCTCTGTGACCTTGTGTAAGTCACTCCATCTCTCATCTGTAAAACGAGGGGACTGGTCCAGATGACCACTGAGGTCCCTTCCAGCACCAAACCTATGATCCCATGAACAACGGAAACATCTATTTGCCCCTGAATTGCTGTTGCAACACCTCAGTTACTTGAAAATATATAACTTACAACAATTATGTTGAAAAATCTGAAACTGAGATAAATAAAACTGGTTGGTTTTAACTATACACATGGGTTTTAAGAAGACAGAATTTTAGAGTTCAAATGGCCTGTACATATTATCTAGTCCAACTTTCTTATCTCATTAATAAAGGAAATAAGCCTCAGGAGAGAGGAAGTGACTTGCTTGAGGTTATACAAATAGGTCATGGCAGGCCTAGAATTCAAACTCATATTTCCTAACTCCTAATCCAGGGCAATTTCCTTTACACACTGAGCATCTCATTCATTTCATCACATCATGTTTGCTCAAAACACCAAATACACATTTCCAATGAAGTGAGAAATTGGGAATAACTGTCCAAACATTTCTAAAAGTATTAAAGTTTCTAAGCAATGGAATTTTTATTTTCCCATTTCCCAATAAAGAGGAAAAAAGAACATGGTAGGGCAATAAGATTTTTAAACCCCAATCAATTCCTGCAACCTTGCAAACAAATAATACATTTTTTGTGTGTCCACAAAAAGATTTGTTGATTTGCCCTCTCTACAGAAAGTGAATCCAATGACATCAGCACTCTATTTCTTGTAGGAGAGTGGGCATGTAGATGTCAACCTTTTTTATATGACTGTTTTTAATATAATTTTGTAGGAGGCAAACGACAGACTTTTTCTGTTTAATATATCTGTTTTATTGAGCATCATCCATAGCATTTTAGAAAGGGCCCTGATATGGTGTTTAAGACATCACAGGTAAATTTTGCGTGAAGCTGTTGATTTATCTGCCATTCTCCCTCTGGCTTGATAATTGACTCCTCTCACCCTTTTCATTATTGTGTCATGCAGAAATCAGCTGGTGAATTCTGAAGTATGACTTTCTTTAGTGGAGGAGATACTTTCACCTTCCTGGTCCAGTAATTTTCCGCATGGGTAACGTTTGGGATAGACACTTGTCTTTTGGATTTGGTAGTCTCAAATGGACGCCTCTCTGGCCTTGCCTAATCTGTGTCCTTGTATTCTCTCCACATACAGACACACTTTCACATACTTTCACTGCAATAAGTTTTGCAAATCCATAATCTTATTTTTCAGTACTGACCTAGTTCCCAATCTCCTGGTTCGTAGCCCCATGAAAATTGACCTTATGAGTTTTCCAAAGGAGGCAGCATTGACTGGGTCCAGTTTGTGTTCCTGACAGTGTCGTAGGTAATGGTTGTAAAGGGTACTTCTAGGGAGGCTCACACCTTCTGCTGTTTCATAATTGTCCAACAGCCACTGGAGCTATTATAAGTAAGACAGAGTAAACAAAAAGAAACAGCATAATTTACCAAATTATCTACAAGCCACTGAAATCATTAGAGTGTCACTTCACACACACAAGAAAGTATTTAGAAGCTCTCCTGAAAGCCTTACGACAGGATCAAGTAGCTCTTTTTAAGTGAATTCAGAAGCTTAATATACTAGGGGGTTGAAAATGCTTGGAAATGTCTGTTAAATAGCAGAAGTCATAAACCTGTGACCTCCAACAATGCCTGTCTCTCCAAATATTCAAAAGCATGTAGTGACACACTGATTTTCACTGCATTGAATGTTGTTTTGGAGACAAAGAGTTATTTCCATTGGGGAATTTAGATAATCATGTTAACTAGTCACAAATATAATTTATACCATCATGGAACAGAAAAACCATGTTATCCAGACTGACGGCATGGCACATAATATATCTGTATTGTTGGTTTGTTACAACATACCAACACTAAGCTGTCTTGTATGAGCCCTTATATTAAGGTTATATTAATTTTCATAGGGTTCCTAATTTACTTGTTTCAAATTATCATGAGATAACATAATAATAGCATTATCTGCTAAGCAAAAAAATTCTAGAAGGTAGGAAGGGAAGAAACTCAGTCATTTCTTGCCAGAAGGGAAGAAACTTGGTAACTCAGGTTAAAGAGTATAATACAATTGATATTTATTTATTCATTTTTCTATCTATATATGTATCTATTTGTGATGGGGAAAGTTGTAGTAGTTAAAGATAGTTATTGTAGGTTTAATTCTTTGACTTTTAAAAAGGAAGGAATGAATTATTAGAACTATCTTGAAACTTTCTATCTCTAGGCAGCATTTTTGCAATGCCACAGAAGGATGATGATTTGCTGACATGTCTATACTCAACAACAATTTAAGTCTTATTGATAGCCCTGGGGTTATGCTTTCTTTTGCAAGAACATGCAGAAAGAAATAAAAAAAAAATTCTAATGCACACAATTCTAGTCTCTGAGGTCCTAACAAGGATTACAGTTGTAAAATAGGCAGGACCATTTATTATTGTCCCTGTTTTACAGATAGGGAAACTGAAACGTAGACAGTGACTTGCCCAAGGTCACCAAAAGAAGTAATACTAGAGTGTAGATCAAAACTCAGGTCTGCTGACTTCTATTTCCCTGCTTTCTCTACCACAACATGCTGGGAATGCAGCTACTGGATGACTGAGAAGAATCTTGGTGTATTGCTCCACAATTCAATAATTTAAAATGTATGTCTAAGGTTAATCTATACTTTTCAATATGGAAATATGAGAATTTGTGAAGCTTCTCCTATGTTGAATCCTAAATAGGGAAGCGAAGAAGGAGTTGTTAAAGTTGTCACAACTTCAACTAACTTTCTAAGCACTTCCCCTTCTATACTGACATTTTCAGGGATTTGTGATTAGACTTGGAATGTGAATTTAAATTTGAAACTTAATAGGGTGCCACTTTCAGACTTTTAAAAAGAAAACATTCAACACGATTTTTTTCAGGTTTCCTGCCTACAATAAATTTTCCTACTTGATAATTGTGCTGATTGAATGTCATTTTATTAGGCTGATGCACATATACATATATATTAAAATACATACATTGTATGCAAAAAATGCATATGTGGCCAGGCTTAGTTGTTGCACAAAATAAACATAATGAAGACAATTCAGGAGAAGCATAGGTAAGCTTGATTATTAGGTAATGGTGACAACTAAATTTTACATAGGGGTTCATAGTTCAAGCTCTTCCACTTACAGTATCTCATTTGATCATTTCAAAACTCCTGTGAGGAAGGGCCGGAACTGTTACTCTTATTCTATAAATAAGGAAACTAAGGCTCACATAGCTAGTTACCAGCAAGACAAGGGTTAGAGCCCATGTCTTATCTCATGACAAGTTTGGTGTTCTTTACAGTGTAGGAAAGTGCTATGGAGTAGACTAAACATGAACACATTCCAGTAACTAGCACATTACACAAAAGTGGCACAGTCTATTGAATATAAAAACTCTTCCAACGGCTTCCGGTCACACGTTCATTCCGCCATATTGCACTGACAAAAACTCACCTTAGGACCATAAGATCATACATTTAAAGCTAGGAGGGACATTTTGTGTCATTTAGTCCAACCCCTTCATTTTACAAATGCAGAAACTGAAGCCTTAAGTGACTTGATCAAGTACTCTGATAGTAATAGTAATTGGTGGAGTTGGGATTTGAATCCAGTTCTGATTCCAAATCCAGAGTCTTGTCCAACCTGAGACCTCCTCAGCAAAAGAGCTGGGTTATTTACTAGGCCCCAAAAGAAATTGTACTTTCTTATAATTATTTAACAGGTAAAAATAAGTATTTGGTAATTTAGCAAATATCATCCTAAAGAACTGGTACCATACATTTAATTTCTTTGATAGACTCAGAAATGTTTATACATCTTTTCATGAATATTTGGGCCTTTACAAATATGTAAGAGAAAAAATAAAATTTTGTATATTTTGAATTTTATTTTATTATCATTATTACAGGTATTACTTACAGCTTGAATTATAAAAATTCCTCACTTGTGACACTTGTAATCATTTCCCCCAAGGCATTCTAATGTTTTCCTAAATGCTATCTAATTGATTCTCCTATAATGAACATAAACAATTGGTATTCACCCATATTTTAGATGGCAGCAGCACGAATGTGGCAGATAAGCAGTAATTCTAGTTATTTGAAGTTCAAACTAGCATCTCTTTCCTGGTTTTTGTTTTTGAAATAAAAAATTCTACCTACATGACTGAACCTGAATTAGACTTGCCTTAAGTTTTATTTTAGTCCAATTATTTTAAGTCATCAATATGGTTAAAACGGGCTATTTCCACAGGGCTCACAAAAGCATAGTGACCAAAAATTTGGTCTCTTTTCAATTGGGCTCCATATACAAGCACAGTTAAGTTGCTTGCCTTTTATTAGTACTCTTCAAATAACTATAGAAGGTATATTTGTTATTTGCATAATGATTCATAATAGAATATATATTAGGCAGAGAATAAAAAATATTTGACAAAGCAAATGCATGAAACTTTTTAAAAAGTTAAAGTCCTACTCAATATGAACAATATGAGACACATACAAAATCAACAAAGGAAAAGGGAAGTTTGATTCAGAGGATTATAAGACCTATTTTCCATACAAATAAATAAATATTTTCAGGGCAGCCCTAAGGGATAGAATCTCAACAGAAAGGGGTAAAAAATGTCAAGAGTCCTCAGCAAATTTACTTGGAATAGATGGGGGAAAAATCCTAAGGTTGCATATGGGAAGTCTAAAGTTGAAAGGATAAATTTTAAAAGGGACTAGGAAAAGTTTGATATAGTTGGCTTTACATTTAAAATTGTGCAAATATTTTGGATGTTTAAAGGAACATGATACAAAATACTTGTACTACTGAAGGAAGCCAAATTAAAATAATCTGCTTAATCCAAAACAAAAATGCAATTTTTTTCTATAAACTTCCTTAATTTTGTATTTGTCTTCTGGCCAGATTTAATTAATTGACAAGAAGATAACACTCCTGAAAATTTTATTTGTGCTAATTTCTCATGAAGATTTCCTCTTAATTTTTAAGTGAATCATCTGAGGAAATCAAAACAACAATGACTTTTATGAGAATTATAACAAGCATATTTTATAAAACATTTGATTCACAGTAATGCTGCAAAAGATATTGAGTTAGGATAGCAACAAAAATTTTATTCCATGAAAACAGGTAACCAATGCTTTTTACCTCATGCTCAACATTAAAATATTTTAGAGTTAAAGGCTATGTACACATAAACAAAACAGAGAATCTCTTCAAATAATTCATGACAAAAACAAGATTTTGCTGGAAAGATTCATATAAAAATTGGGTATTGGTAGCTAAAAGTATCCACAAGTGCCTTATTTCCAATTCATATTAGCCACGGCCAGAAAAGAATTGCCACCAAGTTGAATATTTAATGGTTGATTAGGTTTTTTCAGTCATAGTAATGATTCCCACACACAGATTGGATCAGCTGTGTGGTAAAACAGAAATGACTGTACAGATGGCCAAAAAAACTATTGATCATTGTAACTTGATTAGTTTCTGATATAGATGTATAATATGCATAGTATACATATATACACATATATATATACTTTATCCAAAGACCATATATATATATATATTGTGTATATATGTATATATATACATATATATATATATACTTTATCCAAAGACCATATATATATATATATTGTGTATATATGTATATATATACATATATATATATTATGTGTATATATGTATATATCCAGAGACTATACGTCTCTATAGCTATCTAGCTTCTTGATATGTAGTTGCCACTTAAGAGTAGATTTGCATGTCCTTCAGAGAATATTTCTACAGTTTGCAATTTCATTTTCTTCCTTCATTACATAATAAATGACAAAATCTTGGCAATTTGGTTCTAAGTACAATTCAGTTGCAGTCATGAGGAAGTACCTCCCCTCCTCCAAATTTACTAGCTGTTATCTTTTTTTTCTTCCATTAACAGAGGGGTCCTTTAATCTTTTTTTACATAGAAAATCTTGCTGTTGGCTTTCTTCCCTTCACATTTGACAGTCTCAGAAAATTACTAGAAAAGGAAGGGGTCAGATAGTTGAGGTGAAGAGGACAGTTGTCAGACATTTGGAACTACCAAGTAATAATACAAGATTTAGCAATAGTTAGTAATCTACTTCTTCAAGGTGCCTATTTTTTTTAAAGGTACAATCGAGATCCACAAACATCAAAAAATTGCAAATTGGGTCTTTGGGCTCCAAAATGTAATTTGTAAAAGTTTTTATTTTACTTTGAGAATAACATGGACAGTCAAAAGACTGTTTCAAATCACTAATCAAGGGATTAGAGTCTATTGTGCTAATAGAATTTCAAAGATACCTAGAGACATACTTGAGACTTCTGGATATAT